AGGGATCGTTACATCATCCTCCAATACTAGAATAAGGCTGCCACTTTATTGAAAGTGCAATTTCTCGTAAACCCTGAAACCAAGAGTGAGAGTTCTCACTAGATGCAACTGTATCTAACTTCCATACTTGAAGCTTAGTCTTCATATTTCCCTTTGCTTGTTCAACTAGACCCTGTATCTGAAGTGTTTGAAGACATCTAGTAGGTACTTTGGTTCCATGTTTCTGTGGAGGAATAAGCAGTACCCTATTGAACTCACAGCCATTGTCACATTAGAGAATTTCTCGAACCCCATGGCATCCAATCTAAACTGCCACTTGACTTATCATCTCTTTCGCAGTCTTGCTCTTTAAAGGGAATAAAGAAGACCATTTACTGAAATGGTCCTTTATATGAAGAATCCATTTGAATTGCCCTTCAGGTTCAAGTCTAATGTCAATGAGATCAATTTTGATTCACTGAAGTGTATGATCTGAGATAATTAGTTTGAGTGGTACCCTGGATCGAATTTGCCGGCTAAGAAGACAGGTTTGGTAATGTTTGTGTAGCCACTCAACCTTGGCTCTGGTTATTCCATAGAAGTGGTCCCATATCACCATCATAATCTTATTCATTCTCACATGTCCTAGCTGATTATGTATTCTGCATATTTTATAAAAAATATCAGCAGGCCAAACAACCTCACAGTCTAGTCCAGGAATATTATCCTTAATTACTTCCTTTCAAAATAGTTTACCATTTTTAATAAAAAGGTAGGTAAGTATATCATGTTTCTGGTTGTACTGGTGTTGTTACTTGGACCTGGGGGGAGGCTTCTCATCTGGAAAAATCAACTAGTTTTGGTATGAAGTCTATTTGTCTTAATCAAAGAGTCAGTATATTGCCATTTCTGTTAGATTCAATAGTACACTATTGTACTTGTTACCTTTGGAGTGTGTCACATACCCAGTTTTTGTGTTCCAGCTAATTCAACCATTAAGTGAATTGTGTGAAGGTTTCAGCCTTAAAGGGAGTATAGGAATTATCATTTGGCTCCATCGGGTCCTTATGCAAGGAGTATATCTGGCCTCTAGAGTGTATAGAAGAGAGGATTTGAATTAGTAGATTGGTTGATCAGTGGGAGAAAAAGTATGCCACATACACAGAGAGTAAAACAAAGTAAACATTATTCTATAGGGCTGGGAGAAACGAGTTTTTCGTTTTACTTTTAATACTTTGTAAGGGGAATTGCTAAAGAGAGTACTTGCTCTGTAGCATACCTCTAAGATAAAGTGACCTTCTTTGTGAAAAGCATATGCTCTTGGCCAAGTAATCTCCTTGGCCAGTGAGATGGAACATACACTATCTTCATTACACAATATAAATCTCTCCACAATTATCCTAGCCTAAAGCTCATCGTGAGGAGTACTTAGAATAGCAGAAGCAAAAGCCACATAAAATGAGAAACAATCAGAATTAACCTACCAGTACTAAGCCACTAGTGTATTCTAAGATTATATTATTATAAACTATACAAAACCTTGATCCTGAATTATTACTGAACTGAATCCCTACATGTAAGCATATCATTCCTGTAAAGGTAGGTACATTCCTGAATTACAGATAAGAAAATGATAGAATCTGAGCTACTAAACATAATTGTAGTCAAAAGAACAATTACAAACCATGTTGGATAAAATTGGTCCACAATTCAAAAATAAGACAGAATGTAGTAAAATGTAGCAGCATGAAAATAGTTCAGATCAAGCAAACGAATAAAGCTACTATACAGACAATAAGGATGACTGAAATGCAGCAAGCCCAACAGTTTTGTCTAGATACAGTTAGTCTTTATCCTTGGAGAAATCTTTTTTTTTACTAATATTGAGTACAGGAAAAGTATAAACTACATAAATGGAAATGAAACTAGAAGTATGAATAATTATAAAGTAAAGGTGAAGGTGGAATAAACTACAATTTTAAGGTAAGTGTAAGTTATCATTTCTTATGCCTTTTTGGGTTTCTCTCTAATAGTTAGGATTCCTACTAATTCTTGATCCTAAGCACATGTGAAAACAAGTAAACATATCACCTCTGCTTTTATTCCATCCTCTACCTACCATTATCATAATCATCACCTTCTTCAGCCTTATTTTTTTCTCCACTTTCTATGTTTGCCAAATGTCCATTGGTTGTACCCACCACTCTAGTCCACTATCACACCGCAGTCTACCCATTATCCAATTAGCTGAGGTACTAATATGAAGCCCACGTGTGCCAGTGCTCATTTGGCTATGCCCAACCCCCACCCAAAACTCTCAATGCTTTATCCCACCCAAATCTATCTCCAGGCAGCCAACAAGTACAGTCACGCCTCAATCTCCCCGATGGCCACAATCTGCACAATCTGTCTGGGACAGCACATTATCTGGGACAATAGGGTACATTCTAGTCCAAAAAATTCAGAGCCCAGAAAGTTTCATCTGCAACAATGGGGTATCGGGGAGAGCAAAGTCCGGGACAGCAGGGTGCAAGTGTACAGTCGTGTCCAGAAAGTATTTATACCTCTTCATGACAACCACCACTACTACTATTGATGAAATCAATCATACAAAACATAAAAGTAGAAACTCAATTAAAAGAAAACTGAAAGTAGATACAATAGACTTTCAAAAAATTCTACTACCACTTGGTATGACCTCCTTCTGCATCCAATACAGCCTGAATTCTCTCTGACATCTTAACTATTCACTTATCCAATGTCTCCTGAGGAATTAAATTCCACTCTTTCTTTGCTGCCAGAAATAATTCAGCAACACTGTGGAGCCTTCTTTCCAACCTGGAGAATCACTTTCTGAGGGCTCTTTTGAGAAGTACCAAAGAATTCTCAATTCAATTGAGATCCGGGGAGCTGGGTGGCCAAGGCAATTTCTGATAACTAGTGTCTGATTGCAATTTCTGATTTTCTGTACCACCATACTATGAGGCATTATCTGCAACTAGGTAGATATCTTTAAAAGATCTATCAAGACCTTCTATAAAAGGGATGAGATAAGGCTAGTCGATCTCAGTTGCATATTGGTGGGAATAAAGGCCAAGTCTATCCCTTTTACTAGTTCTTTCCTCCTCAGTCCTCTTCCTCACCAGAATTAACTCAGTCCTGCCATCCTTTATCATTCCAGCATAGACCCTAATGCTAGTCCTTCTTGGCTTAAAGTTAGGCTTTAAGTTTTTTTCCTCTCACTCTTCACCAGCTCTTATCCTGACCATCCATTCAGTAGGATTTGGATCATAGATAATTGTAGCTTCATCAACATGGATCACCCAATTCCATGCCCCCCTCTAATTCCTCCTTCTCCTAACAAACTCCTTTCTCTTTTCCTTTTGTTCTTTCCTCCAAAAAAAATGCTTTTTCCTTAGTATCAAAATCTTAAAACCAGGATCTGATATGATTTTATCTATATGGTCTTGCCAAGACGAATATTTGCTTTTTAGGTGATTTCGTGTAACACTAAATGAGGCTCAGCATTGATAATAGCCTCTACTACCCTTCTTTTAGCATTGGTAATCTTTGTTAGACGGCCAGGCTTGGAAGCATAGTGGGTATCTCCACCTCTTTCTTTAGCTCTCATCATAACCTTTTGAACAGTTGCCTTAGAGATCCCCAAAGCCTTTAAAATTTTATTGTACCCCATATCTGTATACTTATACAGGGAATAAATCTCTTGATTCCGATCTTCGTTTTCTCTCTGGATTTATGGTGGAGCCATGGTGGTTGATGGAAAGCAGGGGTGGTTGTGTTCCACCGTTGCTTTGCCAGAGTATCATTACTTTCCGGACACGACTGTACTCGAGCGGAGATGCACAACACTCTTGCGCCACATAAAACCCATGTATTAAAAAAAAAACAATGTGGCTAATCAAGGTTATCCTATGGACACACTAATATCATACCTACCAGTACTACGGAGGTACAGCTCGTAAGTTTTGTATGTTCCACAAGCCTATGGTGTCACACCCTCTGCCTGTGGAACATACAAAACTTTAGGGCTGTACCTCCGTAGTACACTCACCCCTCGCTGTCCTGGACGGCCATGATCCCAAGAATCTGTCCGGTACAGCGAGTGATCCGGAACAATATGTTAGGTTTTGGTGTAAAGGAAATCAGAATTTACCTGAGTTTCATACGAGACAGCGAGGTAACTTATCCAGTTCAGCGTGATCCGGGATGGCGGGGTGCGAGTGTATTGCGGTACTCGAGTATCATACAGTTGCACCCCGCTGTCCCGGACCTCGCTCTCCTAGATCCCCTGTTGTCCCAGATGAAATTCTCTGAGCTCTGAATTTTTTTGCACCAGAATGTACCCCGTTGTCCCGGATAATCCGCTGTCCTGGACAGATTCTGCGGATTTTGGCCATCCGGGACAGCGAGGTGCGACTGTACAAGCCCCCGGCGAGATGACTTCGTAAGTAAGACAGAGATCGTTTCATAACTGTTCACTGACATTCTATTGGTTACTTATGCTAATAGATTAGTATCAACAGGGATCACGCTTGGCATGCAAGACCTGTTAATTGACGTGCGGGTTTTGCAGAAGGCAATTCCACTCGAGGGCAGTTAAATATATCAATCAAGGCTATTGCATTTGTAATGGTTGCCCACAACCCCGCACGTTGGGCTGGATACACAGCGGCTCGTTTATTTTCCTTTTTCTCGATGGGGAAAGCTTTTGAGTCATGGTGGGAAATCAGAAGTGTTCGCATCTTGCGGCCCGGGCTTTTCGGAAACTTCTTTAAAAGTATGCCCCTTCGCGTGTCTCAATTCGCTACAATCCTTAGGTCCCAAGCAGCAAATACTCCTCCGCCCAAATCAAATGAGAAAGGACCTCCAGTATTACCAAAAGGCCTCATGGTAACTGGACGAGCGGGGATATTAGATGCTGGGCAAAGTGGAATCTCACTTTTGGTGATTATACACATAGCCCGATTAAACATCACGTACAAATGAAAAGTAGGATATCGTACTCGTAGACTGCACCACAGTTCCATTTACAAAAACAATACCAGAGCCCCCAACTCCAACATCACGCCACTTTGCCTTCCCTAGCCACCTTCCATCATACATAAAAGCAAGGATAATAGTAATAATAATAGTGATAATAGAAAAACCAAAAGCACCTGCTTCAAGGCACACAAATGACTAGAAGAGAACAGAATAAACGAGAATGATATCCAACTACTGATAAACTTACTCAAAAGTCAAAGAAAGGCAAAGAAAAGATAATCCTTTCCATAGCATAACTAATTCATAGCTTTCATAACTTCGTAAATCGTGAAACAAATGAGAGGTGGAAAGCGGATGAGCGCCTGCAATGAGAATCCAAATATCTACTAAACTTTTGGTAAAGAAATGGTTGCTGATATTAAAGAGAGTAAGAAGGCAATCTAATCTCCTTGATGACCCTCTCAAATGCGCGAGCGTCTAAAAATCATTCATCAGTCACAAATTCAAACACTAGTTCATCCATCCATCCATCCAGAGGCCGAGAGAACAAACCTCCAGGATTCCTGAAACGCAGTTCGTAATTCTTCCATGTGTTGGTGTCAAAGTAGACCGAAAACGAAAACTGCCGTAGGTCCCTTAGGATAATTGAATTACTTCGCGAGTAACGAAGCCAGTCAGGAATACCAATATAATCCGTAACTACAAAGTTGTAAGCACCGAAAAATTCCACTATTCATCCCTGGCTTTAAAAATGGGGCTTACTAAAAGCAGTCCAAATGGTTACATCGGTTTGTTCGCCTTTGACATTGGCGGAGGCCAATCTTACTACTCCGGAGTCCCGGTCCTGCAATACTCTTAAAATGTGAGGATAACCCTCATCGTCGATTTCACTGCCTGTAGTCAGTAACCCGACATAAAAATCTATAGAGGAGTGATGACGAACCCGCTAAAAAGAAGCTCTTCTCCGTCAAGCCAATACTCTGATTTTTTGGGCGTCGGTGCCTTCGGACCGTTGAATCTTAACGCCAAGAAGGTATGATAAAATAACACCATATCTACCCGCAACCGTGTCAACATGGCCCAAAAGGGCAACGAAAATAGCCTGTCACATACTTTCGATATCTGCAAAATATAAACAAGCCCATAGGATACCGCGGCGCTTAAGATGGAGACTGGATCCAGCTCGGGATACAGTCAAAAGAGATGCATCGATGAATGTTTGGAATTTGGTGTGTCCTCGGCGGTCGTTGACCCACCCACCCGAATATGGTTGACCAACCGTGCAGACAACTTTCGCGGCTTCGGTCGTCTCATCGCGGTAGAGGCGAAGAGTAAGGTCATTATCAAATTCCCTGGAAACAGGTGACGTATTAGTGTAAAAAAAGAAAACCAGCAGTATATTAAAGTCTGAAATTTCTCACACTTTAATAATCTCAATCTCTTCTCTTGCCATATTAAGTGTGTCCATTGGCATCCCAAAACATTGTGATCCCTCGGCAGTTCTGGTACCATAATTAGCCAACATTTATCGCGAAATAAACCTTTAATCCATACTTGGCAGTATTCACAAACCCGGTAGACCCGGCCGTCCCATCAAAAACACCGGCCCACCAATCAGGCCTAACATTCACATTGCCTCCACGCAGTCTTGGGCCTGGCGGTGATGGCGGAAGCGGAGTTGGCGCTGGGGGGGGGAACCTACGGTCCCGAGGTGGCGGCGATATTGGTGTATTTGGGGTAATCGGGGCCATAGGTGTTGCGGGCCGGGAGTCATGTGCTGGGGTCATGTAGCGCACAGGGTCAACATTGACCGAATGAGGTGGAGATACAGGGCTGAAAGAGCGCGAGGAACGCCGTGACGGCGAGCCATAGGGAGGCGTTGGTGGATATCGAGCCATATAGGCCTTTTCCTCAGAAGCCCTTCTCTGACTTTCCTCCAGATCTCTCATTCTTTTCGCTACTCTTTCCTGGTTGGTTGCGAAATATTTCATCTCCTCCCGGAGTCTTGACATTTCGGTTCGGTTTCCCGATTTACTAGAATTAGGTCAGCCAAGCCTAAAGTGAGACACTGCAGAGTTGCGGGGTAGGTCACTGTTGCAAAATCCCTTTCAATTGCAGCAAAAAAGTCCGGTGAACATCTAAGCGACTACCCAAAGGAAAACCTTCGGCTTTATGAAAATAAGATTGGATCTCGTGCCAGGTTTTTCGAGGTGAGGCAGCCCGCCGCCCAGAAGTGTATCGTGCAACAATATTATCCAGCTCACGAAGAGACCTCGAGCAACTACCGATACCCAACACGATGTCGTCCAGCAACTCTCGAGCAAGGCGGTTAAAGCGATGATCCTGAAAAGCAAAATCAAGGTCCCTTAAGGTGGCCCTTATATCATAAAGGCATTTGACTACGCTGCGAATATCGCGGGATGAGTCTGGCAACAAATCGGCGTATCGACAGAGAGAATCGGCGGTGTTGCCAGCAATCGACGAGAGGGCCAAAACCCCGAAAACAGCCAAACGCTCTGCCATGGGACAAGAATTGTTTCCTTGTGTCTTGGCTTCGTCAAGAAGAGACTTTTGATGGCGGAATGGCAGGTGAAACGGGGCGTTCTTTTAGTCGTCAGGAAACATAGACGGTAGGAATGAACGGAGAGATAGATTCAACGCCAGAAACAACTTTCCCTTCGGTGGGCTAGGCTGGAGGAGGGGGCCAGGGAGATAATGTAATTGAATAAATGCTCAGCGAGAAAAGAGGGGATGCACATGCGGCTCCTCAAAGGGTGGTGGGCTCTGACGTGTCTGAGCAGAGTGCGGTATGTACGGTACGGTAGGTATGGATGGTGGGAGAGGTAAGCTAAGCGTGGTATATGTATCATACTCTCCCAACAAAGTGCACCCCACCCTAGCCTGTTCTCCGCGAGAAGTCTCAAGGCCTAAGTGGTCGTAGGAACACTAGCAAAAAAGATGATCAATTTTGACTGGCTTGTCATGTAGGTAAACGCATAAGATACAGTACCAACAATCCAATTGACCAACCCTGTCTGGCCACTAAGGAGGACCAGACTATTTCGCAGAAGCAGCAAGGCCCAGTGCCTGCTCTGTGTGAGGAGGGCGAAAAAAGATATGGAAGTCACCCGGAAAGGAGTGGCAAAAGAGAAGAAAAAATAAAAATAAAAATGGAGGGAAACGAGTGGAGAGAGCATTGGCTCTCATCACCCACAGATGCAGCTTGGATGTGGTGTGTGGACATGCGGGGGAGCTCTCGGGGAAAATACTGTGACGCCACAGGCAAATCCCAATCATCTAGAGCAATATAAAAATCCGCTCCCGAATTACTCGAACACCTTGCTCCTCACGAGCACTTCACTCAGGCTGTTGCCAAAAGAGCCATACATAGTCCATAAGATCAGCTTTTTTCTTTGGCAGCTAGCGCGCAATTGCAGTTCAGACCGACATTTGGTACGAGAACCATACCCGTATCCTTTCGTAAAGAGGGTTGCTGGCGACGCACTTCCATAAGGCCACGGTTCCTCTGCAACAATTAAGGTATCGTGCTCGAGCACCGGATTCTGATGCCATTTCTTGATTTCTACCACATCAGCAGCAAGTAAGGCCACCCATGATTGGACTCTTTCCAATGGATCGACCGGCCGTTTCGTCTATCTCCGTGCCCGCTTCAATAAATCGAGCGAATCTCACCAGTAGGCAAGCGTGTCTCCTCCCCAAACCCCGATATCAGTTTCTCGTGATGTATGCCTAAGAAGCAGTTTAGAACATGTCCAATAATTCTCCTGGGTCACAAAGAAGGTGGCTAACCTCATTATGTCATTGATTCCTTCGCCTACTCGTACTCGAGTACACGAGTACTGGTAGAGGATGGGTGGCAGAATCACTTACTCAAGTGCCCAAGCACAGAATTATGGCATAATGTATAAATGCACGAAGTGAGAGGTTTCCCTGTTTTCTATCGCTTTTTGGTTGCAGTTTAATTCTTTTCTTTTCTTTTTTCTTTTTTCTTTCTTCCGAGATATAAAATCGATGCGGAACGAGAGGAAACCAAGGGCCCGGAAGGAATAGCGAACAGGAAAACGAAAAAAGGTCGCAATCTCACTCCGGAATCAAGTCCTCTGATCCCTCGCAGAGCTTCTGCTGTGAAAAAGCGATTCGATTCGAGGCAGGAGAGGGGTTGAGGAGATAAATATCTAGATACAGGTATCATTCTTTCGTCTCTTTTCCTCTTGGGAGGTTTTTTTGGCCAGAAAGGATCATTGTTGGGGGGTACCACACCAGTGCTCAGTTGCTAAGGATGCGGTCTCCACAGTTCCCACGTTCAGTACCGATAGGACTGACGGGGTTAGACGCAGACGTGGTGCCCCTGACACTGGGGGACGAGAGAGGGATTTGTCTACCACATACGTGTTGGCGATGAACAGATCAAAGTCCAATATAACTTCCCTTGGCCATAAAAAGCCAGATTACAAAGCGGCGAAAAAAACCCAATTGACTGATATTCAACCAAAATCGAAAGATTCGCCACGGCAGAGCCAGATCCTTGGGCGACAGTTCGCAACATGACTTAAGCGTAAAAACTCAAAGCTCATTGAAACAGCATACCAGTTCAGTACGCAGAAAATCGCAGGGACTATACAGGGTATGAAAAAGCACTCATGGAGAGTACGTGTCAAACAGCATCAGGTTCCGATAAACGAATGTAAGAAAATTAGGCGTGAGGCGCTTAACCCATCACGGAGCAATCAGAACAACGAAATTAAAATTAAAATATTGATAATAAAAACCTATCACCAAAAACCGTAGATGAACTTCATCACCACCGCCACCATCCTCACCGCCACCAACGCCGCCGATAAGGTAGACTACTTGATAGCAGAGTTGCAATACGGTACGGTAATTTATTGCTGCATGTATTATACTCGTACTCGTAAATTTACCATGGTGTCAACATCTTAAGGTATTGAGTGAGTGACACTGTACCGTATGAGTGTGAAAGCGCCCATTCCCCACCACATCGATGTGTTTGTCGATGCTTGTCCAGCAGATTGGGAGTGAAGGGAAAAGATGGAGAAAATGGAAAAAACCAGCCGCTCGGTGAACAATCGTGCCTTTCATTTTTCTCTCTCCATTCACCCCCTTACCCTCCGCTCCCCCTTCCCTCCCTTCCATCTATCCACTCGTATCTGTCGATTCTGCTCTCTTCCCTCCCCGGAAGCGAGGGGAGTCAAACACATCTATAACTACAGCGCCCCTTCGCACAACATCGTTCCAGGCACAGCTCAGTGTACCGTAGACCAAAAGCAAAGCAAAACGGCTCTTTACCATAAAATGCATGGTGGATCAATCACCAGTCCTTCACCCCCCCCCCTATGCGTCGACCCTATTTAGTTTAGACCGATGCATCTCGCCAATCAACTTAGTTCAAGCCCGCGTCTGCCTCAGATCACGCGAACGTCACATGCCGCGACCGGCAAAGGACGCGTTACGCCCGAGCCCACGCGTCACAACAACAATCATCATCGCGGTCTCCATTAATTCAATCCACGCCTTTTCATTCCGCTATGATCATTTCTCATTGCTCCACCAGCACCATCCTCAACCATCAAGCATGTAATGTCAAACCAACTAATCCCTGCCCCTCCTAATGCCCCACGAAAGCCCATTTAGAAAAAACAGTTGTAAATAAGCGGGAAAAAAAAAAATTCAAAGTTAGGGAGAAATAAGATGTGATAAGAAGACTGGGGACTAAAATACAGAACAATTCATCGAGTTGCCCAACTCAACAAAAAGACCCTTTCGTCTCAATCGCCACATACATTCATTAAGAGACATGGAAGGAACCCACCAGACACACCGAAGCCAGCATGTGCACACAAGATAGAAAAAACCCCACTTCTACGGCCACAACAAATGTTGATATTGGGATATCATCTCAAGAAAGGGATCGGGACGGTTGAGTTTTGTTTTTTTGCTTTTGGTATTGTGTAGGCAAAGAGAAGCACGGTTATTCCATGAACTGAAAACGGGTGAACGGATGTCAAGAGAACTAAAATAAAGAACCAAGTCACTATTCGTCGTCCTCCTCCTCCTCGGGGCCTCCCTGTGCCTGTAGGACGATGTGCTAGTCAGATACAATCAATACGGGTGTATGGAATGCTCACTGCTAGGAGCTCATGAGGATCACTTACGTTGTAGGCTGCCTTTTCATCTTCATATCGTTTCTTGTCCGCGGCCGCTTTGGCTTCGTAGGGCTGGCGCTGTTTTTCGGACAAAGCCTTCCAGCGTTCACCTAGGACTTTGCCAACCTGACCTAGGAGAGAGGTTAGCAGAAGAGAATGTGAGTGTGAACACGAGAAAACTTACCAAATGCAATTCCAGGATTGTCATTCCTAACATTTTCACGCTGTTCGTTCGCGAAGAACATATAGGCAGAGAGACCACGTTTAGGGGCATTAGGATCTAGAATAACAGAGAAGTCAGCGATAAAGGCTACAACAGAAAAGGTAAATAGACGTATGACATGTTTGCCACAAGAATAGTGGGGGGTATTAAAGGACAAAAGGGGTTGGAAGGAATACATACCCTTCTTCTTCTGGGCAGCTTGGGCAGGCTGGGGAATACGCTCAGTCCGGGGCATTATGATACTAAAGATGTGACAACAGGGGTACTGGAGCAGCGAGCGGACGCGTGAGCTTAACGAGTTGTTGTGTGGTTGTGAAGAGGAAGGAAGATAGATTGAGACGGGGCCGTTTTTTGTTTGTTTGTTTCTTTTCTTTTTCTGCCTTCCTTCTCCTCTCAAGTCTCTAGAGACAGCAAGAAATATTGGTGAAAAATGTGGAGAAGGGTTCAGTTGGGGCAGCTTTTTATAAAGTGAAATGAAGGAGTATTATACCGCGCGGTACAAGAGCGTTGATACGGTTGCGCGGTAATGAAGTTTGCGTGTGTGCAGGTAGAGTTCAAAGGGAAGGAAGGGAAGTTATGGGAGAACAGCGAAATGAAAACGAAAATGGATCACGACAGAGAGGAGGGGAAAGACAAACCTTTAGAAGCGATTGCAACAAGAAGACTTTAGGGGATTAGCAAAGATGAAAGAGTTCTGTGTTTTTCGAAATTGATGGTCAGTTAGGTTGTTCGGGTCACTCGAGATTTTTTATCTTATCGCAGGAAGCAGCGAAAAGGGAGTGGGTTTTTTTTTGCTGTAGGAAATTTTTTGGTAGAGGGCAGAACGGATAGTATGGGAGGAGACTTACTGTGAGGCGAGTTTGTATGGGGGGAAAGGAGTTGTGTGAGAGCGAGCAGTATGGGAGAAAACAGTGGGAGTGGCAGACCTTATGCTGTGAGCGGCTGGCTAGCAACCCACATCACTTCGGGCTACCACACCAAAACTACCAGGACGCACCCACCACCAAAATGCCTGAAGGGTTAAAGTGGAGGGGGCTACCACAACCAATCAGGGCGGAGAATTCCCCATACTCCCCTAACCCCAGCGCAGGTAAAGGAGAAACGGAGGAGAAGCAGAAATGGTAGAGAAAGCGGGCAGTCTGAAAAATGTATAGGGCAGCTAGACTAACTTTCAAATTATGCAAAAGAACTTTGGGAGAGTCACCAAAGGCATGGACTCGAAATGCATCGGAATCGATAATACACAGAACCGCTAAATCCCTAAAGGAAGCAAAGATATTTACTTTTCCGCCCATGGTCCGTGCCTGAGAAAATATGATTGGAAGAAAATGCTCAAATTAGTAAGCATGATGTCTCAGACTTCCCGATGCGAGGAGTGAAAAAGTGCCAAGAGGAAGGCTTGTTGCGCTGATCAGCAAGGAGAGGGAAGGGAGAGAGGAAAAGGGGAGATTACCGTGTGGTACGCTACTGGGAAATATTGGGAGGGCAAACTTCCAACATTCGAAGGATAAATTACATGCCATACAGTTCATTTCCTCACAAATGCCGACACCAGAATTACCAAGACCAGGACGGCAGACGGTATGGTACGGTGCATTCCACTTCGCCTTTGACTGGTCTCATGTAGTATCACTCGATTTTTCACTAGAAGCGTCGAGGACATGTGTTATGATGTCGGGGCATACTGTGTGTACAGGCACTGTACTAGTACTCAAGTACATAGATCGCAGTATACTCGGGAGGACAGCAGCGGATCGAGGGCAGGAGTACGAATAGGGCAGGTGCCCGGGCAGGGCACCCAGTACACGCTAGCGATTGGCTTGTAGAGGACTGTATCCGCTCGATGTATAATACCGGTACGGTACAAGTAGCATTCGGGCACCATGCTGCACTCGTACAGCACTGTACGAGTATACCGGTGTGTTTGCCAGTCCCCACCACACTTGTAGCATAGAATTGCCCTATATGTCTCGCTGTGCTTTTCGGGCTGAGGGCGGTGGTATGAGCTGTACTCGAGTATCATAGGTTTATCGGCAATCCTCTAAAATGTATGATAAGTCCCATACATGACTTAAAGCCTCGTTGTTCAATTGTCCCAATACCACGACTGTGAAAGGGGAAGAAAGAAAACAAGGTTCCTCAATTCCATTGTTTTCCTCCCACTGGAGAGCCTTCACGAGTGATGATTCCTTCCAACCAACCAAGTTGACTAACCAACAAAAGCCTAGCGGGTGTTGGGTTACGATCATTTGCCAGATATCGGTACTGTACTGTACTCGTACTCGTACGAGTACGGTGCATGGGCCAGATTTCATGGTGAAGCACACCGTCACGAGTTCCATCCCGGTAGCCCTACGAGTACTCTAGTGCTCGTGCTTACATATGCCGAGGAAATGCAGTGTTAAGCGCTACAGTAATGTTGTGTATTCAACGTACTGAGTCCTCACTCGTTCCGGCATCTATCATCCTACTATACTCTTCTCTTTCCATAGTATCCCCTCCGGTCCCACGTTGGCCCTCGTACAGAACCGGTCATCCGTAACCTAACTGTACCATACTGTACCAGATTACAGGATCGCAGTAATCACACGCACCCAGCGTACAGCCACTTAGCAGAAGCAGCAGCGTCAACTACTCGTACAAGCGGCCGGATCAGCCACACACGCAAAATAGATGCTCCATACCACGAGCCCCGGCAGCAAACCGGATAGGCGCGCAAGTTTGAGTGTCGCCACTGCACTTTCGGCACGCAATATTTCTGGCACGTCCACTTTAGGGAATAGGGCAAATGGTCATTCAAGGACTGTTTCGGACTCGAGAGAACATCTGCTGCATGTACGAGTCCACGGAATATCCAGCCCCGCCTCCCCAAGCCTGTCAGCTCTCTCCTCATCGCCCCCGCCGCCACGACATTCACCAAAAAAACCGAGCAGTTTACCAGATTCCTCGAACATACAACCGGGCTGTTTCGATACTTTGTCCGTCGACTCTGCAAGTGTTGCTTCTGCTGACTCGGTTGGCCAAACGCGAGTCCGCCGCCTTTGTTCTCCCGAAAACAGCCGCCGCCCTTTCGTTCCACCTCCGTGTCGCCAAACGACCAACCCTCGGTCATCTTCACAAAGTAAAGATTTGGGGGGTGCCTATACAGGGCGTCTTACAGAGCAAGCCCTACGCGACCAAGAAGCGGTGCAGCACGGCGATTTGGACGATACAGTACCGAAAACGCACCTTGCTCCCTATCAAACAATCACTTCTACCCCCCAGAAGCCCACATCACCAGGCTTTGGAGTGGATACAATAATGGCGTCCTCAACTCGCGAAGGGTCTGGAGGCAATGGGCTCACTTCGAGAGACAGATCTAGGAGTTTTGCAAGTACCCACTCTGATCCAACCCGAAAGACCGAAGGTGTTGCAGAAAGCGTTGTCCAGGGGACTGTGAGTAAGGCCTTTGGAAGCCGGCTAGGGCGGCTACCGTTTGGGCAGAGATCTAATGCTTTGGGATCTATGGGTAATAATGAGGATAATGGACATGGAGAATTCTCGCAGCCCACTGTGGAAGGATCTAAGGAAAAGCTGAAACCTACAGAGGGGAGTGTGGACTCGATATCAGGCCACAGGCTTATATCAACCTCTACCACTAGCAACCGGGGGCAGCCTTTCCGCTTGATAACTGCTCGGGCGGAGGGCAAGGCGAGGTCTGCCCAAGAGCAAAGCGATGGAAATGGGAAACAGCATTTAGGCTCACCTTCAAACGCTCCTAGACATGGATTGTCATTTACTCCAGCAGCGGGTACGCGGGCCAATTCTTCACCCAAAGATTCTAAGGCCCCACGGCAAGCTGTTTCAACTCTTCCTAGTCCGGGCCCCGATGGGCACTTAGCTCGGAGGGATAAAGGGCACATTATCAAATCTGATGTCTCACCAGCTGCTGCTACACAACAATCCCAAAAGCTGTCGCATAAGAGAAATGCTACCACATCCTCTATCCATCGTACATTCTCTGGCGAACAAGGTATTGGGAAAGCTAGGGACGAGCGGAATAGATCCTCAAGCGCTGCCTCATTTAGAGGGGCTGCTACCAGAAGCAAGCCCACCTCTCGATCGGTCTCTGCGACTTCAACCGTGGAATTGGGGGGCTCGCTCGGGGTTGCCCCGACTGATGCTTTAGTGACCGATGCGAATCTCGTGACCCCTATCCCGGCAGAGGCCCTTGAAACGATGCGAAAGGAGTCCCGCAGCGGTCGGAGCTCTAGCACAAGTAGCTGGACCGACGTCTCGGAACCTGGAGCCGATTTTTCATCACGAAAACCGGCACATGATAGGCAGCGAAATTCCAGAGCATCGAGTACCAGTGAGTCAACTTTAGACACGGGCAATTACAAAGATCCAAACTTTGAGGCACATGCACAAGAGTTATCCCCTGAAATCGACGACGCAGATACTAAACCTGCGCAAACTGAATTCGAAGGGTTTGCCCAGAGCTTCTTGAAGCGCCCCTCGGAGGCTGATTACGAAGACCTTGCACTAGCCTCGGGGGCGGGTAATTTCCAAACGTCCCGATATACACCTACTCCGTCCCCATCCAAGTGTCGGGATACTCGAAGGAAAACCGTTAAGGTTCCTCGGGGCTTAGAAGATATCAAGCTGGCGAGGAAGTCCCCTTTGGAGGAAGAAGATTCTGACGTTGATTCTCTCCAATACCTGCTTGAAAATGACCAAGATTTTTCTGCACTTTTTCCCCCGGTGGATGGCGAAGAGGACGACACGGCACTCTTACTCGCCAGTCTACCGACATATAAACCACCGACAGCCCAAAAGTTAAAAGTCAGGCCACGAGTTGAAGCCGAAGCTGGCGACCAAATGTGGGAGCAAGAACGTGCAGTGCATGAGAAGTTGATGAATCGTCTCCGAACGCTACACTTGGAGGTGCGGTCCGCCACTAGGGGTCTTGATGTGCTGGAGGGTTTCTTGGACGGGGCCGGATCGAGCGGGGATCTTAGTGAATGCTGGGATGACGCTGCTCAGAGGAAGGAATATATGAGGAGGCTTCGCAAAGAGGAACAAAAGCAGCGGCTAATACTGGAGCGCAGAATGAGGCAGAGGATGGCTCTTCTTGGTACCCCACTTCCTTGGAGCAAGTGGCTTGTAAAATGGGGGTTCGTAGCGTTTCTGGTTGTGGTTGTCTGGTATCTCCTCGAACTAGCAGTATTGTGAGTTTTTAACCTTTACCCCAATTATTTGCCGTTTTCAAAAATGTCCGAACCTTGCCCCGGTATTAGCCTAGGAAACGCCAAGATTTGCAGACACTTTTGAAAATGGCAAGTATTCGTAGTTACAATGCAACAGGTATACCCAATCAAGGTACTAATCGTAAATCTTTACTAGCCTCCACTCCATGCCTCCATCGTATTCATCCATTGCCATCGAACGTAAACCACCCCCAGAATTTGGGGCACTCTTCTCCCACACAATCCTCAAGCCGGCGAAAATCATCTTTAGCAGCAGCACGTGGCTGATCCAGCACGGAATCATCGCTACCATAAATTTCACCTCTACATTTCTCCCCGCAATCATTAGACCCTGCAAAGCTGCGATCATGGTCTTGCTCTCATGCTCATGGCGTTTCATGACTGCCATTGCTGTCGCTTTATCCTCCTCCTCCCCCTCCTTTTCGGCCGGGCGCGCATCAGAAACAGTGCACACCGCTGTGGTAGAATACGCCGGTGTTCCTGCTGGGATGCCACGGGCGCTGGGATCTGATCAAGTAGTTAATTGAGTAATCGTTTAATTGGTTTTGTATAGAACCCTCCTTTATTTCTTTCTCTTTCGCTTAAAAGCTTAACTTAATTGGTTACTTACCTATTTGAAGTTATTTTCTATTATTTTATTTTTTAAAAGATCGTCTCTATGATTGTTTGATTTAAGATAATGTATTTATCCTTCTTTTCGTACTTGTTTCGGGTTTCTGAAAAAGGCATGATACCATTCTTTCTCGTATCATGGCAGGTGCCATTATCATAGGGGAATGGTTGTGGTGGCTAGCGAAGGAGGCTATCTTCGAAATTCGCTGACACCTCCCCCATTTACACCAAAAATGGCTGATTTTAAACACACTCAATTCATCCAAAAGCAATGGAGAATTAAGGAAATGAATTCCATTGTGTAGGGAATTACCCAGAATCTCTGTATAAGAGTTATTTCTATTTTTCTACTCTACCCTGAGAGTTGAGAGCTGTATGGACAGATTGGATGCAGTTGCAAGGTACCTTTTGTCAGAGGAACCTACATAAAATTAGAAGTATTTTGCGTTCAGAGTTGTTGTATCACACCTTGGCCATCAACCAACAGAGCTTGTCACTTACGAATAGTGATATATTGATAGCTTTAAGGTTCCAACGGCTTTAGCTAATTTTAACTTTTTTCTAAGAGGGCGGCAAAGTTGAGATTTACACATAAAAAAACAATGTCCATTTTTGGTATAAAGAAGTAGTGGGAGGAGAAGGGGGAGTGTCATTGATTTTTGAAGGTATGAAAATACAGAATAAATCATATTACCTATAAAATTGACTACTTTAGTTATCTTACCTTGTAGGGTAATCTGTCCTCTTCACTAAGTATAAAAGAACTATATTTAAAGGCAAGATATGTCTGACCGGGGTTCTTAATAAATAATATCTTTTATTGGCAAACTAAGATCCACTACTGTTTCTAGCATAGTGGTTACTTGATTCTATTATGGTTATTGGTCTATCTAACACATATTAACTACATATATTAAGTAACTAGTAATGATAAATGTTTACTTATTTCATTTACTATGTTTTGATTGTGCCTTGTCCTTGTAGTCTGATCCTGTTAAGAGAATCTCACATCTGGACTGCTCCAGGATGGCATTTGACAGGTGACAACTGTTCCCAATACTATCCATAGGTTGTAGCATATTTCTGGTATGCATTATGCCATTCACACACAATTCGTAGTACTACTAGTATATTGTGATCGTTATACTTCTTAGAAACCACTGCTATTCATAGTTTATTTCCAATTAATACCTACACATCAAGATTATTTATTACTTTTATGGCCTATTACATCATGTCCTGGTTCCACAAATTAAATTTTTTGGTATCTACATGCACCCGATCTAATCTGCATTAATTCCCACACTGGTGCTATCATCCAGTGCCTACTCCTCAATGTTGACTAATAATCTAAATTCTCGATTTGTGGTTATGGACTATTTTGAGGCTCCTACAGGCTTAGCAAAAGATAGCCAAATAGATATAGGATGACCTTGCTGCAAGCTACTGTACCCATATCCAGCTCATCCGTATTATTTGAACCTGCATAGTCTGAATAGATAAATAGATGTGTGTAGGTAGTTGACAACTAACGAATATATTGGAGCAAGGCATATATTTCTTGTGTGTGATTCTGTCCTTCCAAGTACTGCTCTAAGCCTAAAGAGTGGGGTTGGCCCATGGTGGTACAGGCCTTCTGCCTGTTTCAGATGTCTAGTAGGTGAGATGTTACTATGCAACTTTCTAATTGTCATTATATCTTTGATATCACTCTTGCTAGAACTCATGAACCTACTCCATCTTATTATGTATAGTCCCGCAGAAGTACTCCAGAATTATGTCTTGGATATTGAGTAGGCAATTGTCCTATGTTTATTTCTGTTGTATGAAAAGGTCTTTCGTCTCCAGTAACAACTTAGTAGTTTAGTTGAAAATTATCTGTCACAAGAAATATAAAGTCCTACTAAAAAAACTACGGACTCTGGCTTGAAGTCCTTTGGCGCAAGGAAGATTCTAGATTTCCATGTGCATGGTGCATGGCAGATTATAGCACATGTCAAGCAGATCATAGTACTGTGGATCCATTCAAGAAACTCAGGATTTATTTTCCAATACATTTCCTTTCCTGCCAAATACTTGCTGCGAGTTGCTTGCGGAATATTTGGTTCAATGAAGTGGAAGCCGAGGTTCTGCAATGTATTAAATCTTAAGTTGTGGTTACTGCTTATAAGGTTCGGACATTTGTGGACATAACTACTTTTACATATTCTTAAAACATTTTCAATGATTTTTAGGACACACAATACTGGTTGTATTCGCAAATTTCAGGATATAATGAGTATGGGGTAGCCAGTAAGTTAAACAAACCTCATACTCTTTCGGGTTACATATAAACCTATCCCAGTCCAGAAGATATTCCACACAATGTGCTATAGCTGTTAGATCTTCTTGAAGTTTGTATAACTTTACAATGTTATTCTTCACATAGTATATCCACTATAACAGTACCTGCAAGTACTTGGGATATATTATTCTAACTTAGTACTGCACTCTAGGTCGCATCATGCATGACAGGTTTACTTACTAAATTTATCCAATTCTCAGTAGGTACATCAGCTTCCGTTTCTTTATTTCTCTCCAATACAACACCCAGGATTTAGAGTACCTGGCCAGTCAAAGTAACGACATTTGGGAGTGGATTCTCCAATACAGTCTACTGCAGCAAGAGTGACTTTGTCAACTCAATTATGGTTTTTTGGACACCTATTAGCAAATTGTGTAGAGAATTCCTTGATAACCAGTTATTCTGACAGAGGTGTCTTCGCTAGCTAGTATATTAAAGCTCTTGTTGTCAGATGTAGGAGTACTTGGACCACTCAGTGGAGATACAAATTGTAGAAAGCTGGATGATATAAATGGAGGAGGATCATAGGGCTTTCCACTATGAATTTACATATGTGCTGCTGGTATTTGCAGCATGGAATTAGCTGCCTGTTGTTCAGAGTTACTTGAAATGCTCACTATTATCATGAGACTGTTTCGCCTTTATTTAGCTAGTTGGAACTCCTTGGTGCATCACAGTGTATTGGTATCAGCTATATTGATATCTGCTCAATTAGTGTCACAAATGTGGCTTGGCATAGAATAGGTTTTCACATGACTGATGATTATGAGTCATACTTATGTTATGGTTTCGTGCATATGACCACTTTGGTCATATGACTTGTTTAGGTTATAATTTGTTATGTTTCACATAAGACTTGATTATGAGTCATGGGATGTGCAACTGGTGAGTGTGCCTTGCAAGTATGCCTTACGGGTATGCCTTGTGGGTATGCCTTGGGCATACGATTTATCTTTTGCACATGACCTCATTATGAGGTCATGGGTTTTGTGCACGTGATAACTTTGAGTCTTCTGACTAGTTTGTTGAGTTATGATTGGTTTATAAATTTTTGCACATGTGATCACTTTGGTCATATGATTAGTTTGTTATGATTTGATTTCGCGCATGTGACAACATTGTATCATATGAGTGGGGGCGGGAAGAATACCATATAAGGAGGCCAGTATGGCCGAGGAGGATAGGTTCTTCATGCTTTGTTCTAAGTACTTTTCCAACTTACTACTTTAACGAATATAAAACACCTTTACACTTATTATCATAATTACGATCTTTATTGCTACTATGATAAGAATACATGGCAAGAAGGAGAGTTAGAGAAAGCTTATGATCGGTATTCCTAATAGAAGACAAAGGTGTTGTACTACAGCTAACCTAGGCAGAGGCCTAGTGCTATCATAAGGCAAGAAGCAGAAAGAAGAAGAGAAGTCTCATTCCCCATCGCTAAGAACTAACCATCTGAATGGGGATTATTATAATCAAGATCTGTCTGTTATTTAGTAGAATCCAATGCTTGTAAGTTTTGGTACTCATCAATGATTGGATTGCTTAGAGGAACAGTTTCTGTCCCTCGTAGTTGGGTAGACTCAGTTATCGGTTTGGTGGATACAGTGGGTGGTACTGCGCTTTTCTGGACATACTTAGGAGGTCTTCGTAGATGCATGGTAGGCATCAGCACAGAGGCAAGTCTCAATTTAAAGATTAATAGTTCATTTTTGAGCTCGGGAAACTGTGATACTAGTATTCTCCTAGTTGTATTGCTAATATCCATCTCCCTGACCCTGTAGTATCAGGTCCGATATTGCATCCATGTTTAGCCAGATTGCCTACATGAGGAGCTTGCTCACAGCTGATATTGGAATGTTCATTATGCATCCTGCAACATATTAGGAAATGTCAGGCAGGTAGGATTCAGGACATAACTTAACTGAATAAGTCTCAAGTTGGCAGTCAAGGAGGAGTTTCTGTCATTCTCTGGTATTCATAGTGGTGTGTCAGATCTTATATACTAGGAGAAATAGGTAGGGTTAGCATTGAAAGAATCACAAATTATTGCTTGGTACAGTACAGGTTGGAGTGTTTTGTAGTTTGTATTGATGATATACAGTAGACATCTCCAATTGTCAAAGAATTTAAGATTCCCACATGGGGGGATTTGAGGTGAGGAAAGTGTCGCTGTATTAGCAACAATAGCATAATCTGTGCATAATAAAAATTTCCTTTTTGTGAGAGTTTGGCTAGATTATTCTAGTTATCTTTGTGATCCAATGGCAGTTGGACTCACGCAAAACTCTAGTATAGTACATTCTTAAGTGTCTAGACCTTTAAACTCACTGAATGGACATTGAATAACTTGGGTGAATTGAAGGTTGTGCTAAAGCAGATGGCTTAGCAAAATATAGCTACCATTGTTGTCAGTTAGTGACACAATTGCTCTTGAGACATGTACCATTCTAGAAAAAAATTAAAGGTATCTGGGCTTATTTCTATACATAGAATCAGGACTTACATGGCTGGCAACAGACTAGGCAAGGAGTTGATGACTGAGAACATGAGATACCACTAACACATCCAACTCAAAACACCAATGTAATGGGATATAAGGCTTCTTCTATCCCATCATGAACTCAAGTACTGGACTTGAGTACTAGTACAGTTTTAGTCAAAAGTGGTTAGCAGTAAGGAATACAAGAAGTACATGCAATGGAGTTCAATTGTGATACCATTAAGTATTAACTAAGTAAACAGAGCATAAAAAATTTGCCAGATTATTTCCTGAATCATTATTCATCTAAATTAAAAATACAAGAACACGAAAGAAAAGGAAAGTAAAAAATAACTGAAATATCTTTTTTTGGTCAGTTTTAGATATCTATTGCTGTGATGCAGCCCAGTAGAGGTTGTTGGAGCCGATGGAGCTGTTGCAAGACAAAGAAAGAGGGGGGGATAGTGGCCTAAGAGTCATCGTGGTTCTAAGTGGGATGGATGCAGCCGAATGGTTGCAGCATTGGTGAGAGGGGCGGCCTGTAGAACAGAGGTAGCACTGGTAAGACGGGAAAGTAGCAAAGTAGACACAGCACTGGTACAAGTGTAAGACGGGAAACAATTGCAGCATCGGTAGTTGAAGAAGATGTGAGAAT